GCGCTACCGTCCGAGACAAAAATATTCCAGCTCAGCTATTAGTGGGGTAAAAAGCATTAAAATTGGTAGAAGGCATGTACGATAACCACGCAATGCATGGACAAAAACGCTTATAAAAATTCCAAACGGTTATGGAATAAAATAACATTTAAAAATAGTAAACATAATTGGTAACCTGGCAAGAAATGCTTTTCCGTGTTTCACAGAACAATGGCGATGGGCCTGAAACCCCGGTCTGGCTCATTCGAACGACCGCAAAGAGAAGTATAATTGGAAATCATAAATTGCAACTGACGCCAGCTGTGGAGGGCTAAAACGATGGATGGCCGCTTTGCCCCGGGTGGCCGCTTTGCCCCACTCTCCCCTACGTTAAGAAATAACGTCTCTTTTTGTAGGTGCGACTCACAGGGCATTCGCAGCATTTCCTATGATCTGCGCAGTCTTTCTACAAGGGGTAGACCGAAAGTAGCTTAGCTTGTCGTGATATGTAAATCTTGCAACCCAATCCTATATCAGCGTGGCGTCTGTTACGTACGAGTACGAGTTACGACTTGCGAACTGTCTGTGCTTACATCGGGGAGTCGATGCTCCTTGTCTTGTCTATACGGCAGACCATGTGCCGCCGAGGGGTCTTATAAAAATGATTGTTCGAGAAGAATGTACTGAGAACCCAGTTTTGTTCAACTATAGCTACTATGTGTGCTTTAGTATTTTGGTGTTGATCTATTTTGTACAATCATCAATTTTGCCATCTGCGAATAAATGACTCTGACCATTTTAATCTATTTTGAACTTTTACATCAGGTTTCGCACAGGTCATCGCTCGCTGTACCTATAGGCATTTCTATTTCCCCTGTTTAAATGGAAATAAGAAGGAACCTTTTGGTGGACATTCCCATTTTAGACTCAATATTCCTGAGGATGGGTGATGTCTGCCACACTTCAGTTTTTTTTTTCTTTAACGTGACTGATAGATATACTCAGTGGATAAGTTGACTTCGACCCCTGTTCGTTCGGAGTTAACAAACGGCAATAGAACAATTCCCCCACGAGCTCAGTATTCCGTTTCTGACGGCTGTATTTCGAGCGATGAACGGATCAACTCATGGGCTCTGATCGCTTGTCACGTCCACATGACCACCTACCGCGCTCACCAAGGTCACCTAGAAACGCGGCCAGCTGCGTGGATCATCTCTAGGTGTCATGATCGTTCTTGTGTGTGCGCGAGACTTGCTTTGTCATTGCTCTTTTCTAATGGCCGTTCTTCCTGTCTGTGTATTCTCCAGGCATCAGTGGCTCGGTCCAATGTCCCCACTGCGACTTCAGATGTCTGGAGCAGCAACTTCTGGATAGACACGTGAAGAGATGTCACGGTCACATCGGCAGGAACGGCAGACTCAAGTGCGAGTGGTGTCAGTACTCGACCGACCACTCCTCGCATATAAAATACCACCGTAGGACCCACACGGGGGAGCGTCCGCACGGCTGCTCGACCTGCACAGCGCGGTTTACTGAACGGTCAAACCTCAGCACTTACATGCGGACTCACACTGGAGAGCGGCCGTACGGCTGCTCCATCTGCACGGCACGGTTCTCTCTTCGATCACACCTCACTACACACATGAGGACCCACACTGGGGAGCGGCCGTACGGCTGCTCCGTCTGCACGGCACAATTCGCTAAACGGTCAGATCTCACCAGACACATGCAAACCCACACGGGGGAGCGGCCGTACGGTTGTTCACACTGCCATGCCCGATTCGCTGAACGGTCAAACCTCACTACACACATGAGGACCCACACGGGGGAGCGGCCGTACGGCTGCTCCATCTGCACAGCACGGTTCGCTAAACGGTCACACCTCACTACACACATGAGGACCCACACTGGGGAGCGGCCGTACGGCTGCTCCGTCTGTCAGGCACGGTTCACTAAGCGGACATACCTCAACATACACATGCGGACCCACACTGGGGAGCGGCCGTACGGCTGCTCCCTTTGCACGGCACGTTTTACTCGAGGGTCACACCTCAACATACACATGCGGACCCACACTGGGGAGCGGCCGTACGGCTGCTCCATCTGCCAGGCACGGTTCGCTCAACAGTCCACTCTCATCAGACACAAGCGTGCCCACACGGGGGAGCGGCCGTATGGGTGCTTCATCTGCCAGGCACGATTTACTGAAGGATCGACCCTCAATAAACACATGCGGACCCACACGGGAGAGCGGCCGTACGGCTGCTCCTTCTGCCCGGCACGATTTGCTCAACGACCAAACCTTGCCAGGCATATGCGGACCCACACGAGGGAGCGGCGCAGTAATACTCAGTAACAAATTATCTTCTTTCACCTTGCACATGTCAACTCACATGGGCGGGGGGGGGGGCACACCGCTGTCTTTACGATGTATTTTAACCCTCTCCCGCACATGCCATTTTCCCATACTAGAACGTACATGGCATGGGGGGTGGTTGCCACCCCAGCGCCATTTCGTTCCTGTTGGAGCTACAAAAAGATTCTTTGGGAAGAGACCAATCCAATGATACCCAGTTTTACTTTCTCAGGTCAGTCATTGACCTTCCAGGTCGGGTCAAACTAAAAATGTTGCTGTTTTGGGTCACCGTTGGATATCAAATGCGCTGCTTAGCACATAAGGATGACGATGCCGTGTTGTGGTGCCAAGCCAGTTAGAACCTCTTTGTCACACTATCCGACCAGGTTTTTGCTGCTGAGGTCATTTCAGGTCAAGTTAAGTCAAGGTCAGTGATATGTGTTTGTATGTCTGTGTGCGTCTGTGTGTATACTGATGTGTCCACAGATTGTTTATGTGTCCGTATTACATGAGATCATGAAATGAGAAGCTTTTACGGAAAATGCAGTCAAAGAAACTTCACGAAAAGTAGATTCAGCTTGCCTAAAACGCAATGTTTTTTAGATGACTTAGGTTGACCTTGACCCTGACCTTGACATCTGTACATCGTCGAACAACATGTTCCTTGATAGGTGGGAGGTAAGACTGGCAAAACAGGCCGAAATCAAGGTGTCAAAAGCTCACAAGACCCATAGCCAACGCAAGATATTGGATATTTGTCACTTGGGTCATGACATGACCTGAAGAACAAGGTCATATCTCCGAAACCAAAAACCACAGAAATTTGAAATTTGCAGTGGACATCAAGAAAGGATAGAGGAGCGGCTGTACGAAAAATCAGGCTTCTAGCTGTAAAATGTTGAGTTCAGAGTCGGAAAACTACCTGGAGGGGGGTGGCAACCCCCCATGTGCGGGCGAGGGTTGACCCGCGCCCCGCTGGGCTATTCAGCCCCCTTCTGGGGGCAGATTCTGCCCCACCCCCCGTCTAACTTCCGAAGTCTGATGGTCTTAGAAAGACGGGGAAAACGCCAATCAAAATCTGTCCACGAGGCGGATCTTAAGAGCCAATTTATTTGTTTAAGTAGGTCAGAGGTCAGGTCAAGGTCAGGTCAAGGGTACAAAATGCAAGTTTCTACAGTATCGGCCTTGCACCGTAGTGGCCTAAGAATGGACTGAGACTGATTGCGCAAAACGTGTTCTTCGGCTACCAAGACAATATTCGTTGCATACAATATCATGCAAAGGTCAATGTCAGGTCAGGCCACCGAAAAGGAATTGGTTTGAAGGAATTGGGATGTTGGGATTGGATGGAATTGGGATGTTGGGTTTGAAGGAATTGGATTTTGGGATTGGATGTTTGAAGGAATTGGGGTGGACGGGACATCGCGGCTGCATCAGCAGCCCATGCAGTCCTGTCGGTTTGATGGATGAAACAGCTTCGAAGATTCTCACCCGACCACAACGCCAGCAGCTGCCTGTCCTCCTCTGTCCGGGTTGGGTGCTCTTTGGAAGACAATCAGTTGGCAACAATCCTGTCGTGAATTTCGGTGATTTCAAAGGTTTGTACGGCTTAATTTTTGAATTTTCATAGTTGTATGCGCGGATTTTGGTATTTGAGATCGGGTACCTACCCGGCCGCACTAGGCCATTTTGCTCGTTTTCGGGGCGACTGGCACCGTTTTGTCACCGACATAGGGACTCTAATGGTTTTATTATATTGTATTAACCCTCGCATGTGTGCGGCGTTTGCCAGCTTCTAATGTGTAGGGGGGGGGGGTCGGTTGGACCCCCCCCCCCTTGCCGTTTGGCCCCTGATCGAGCTAGAGCTTGGCGGAAAAACGAGCGTGTTGCCCGTGACGAGAGGAAGCCAATGATACCCAATGTTAAGGTCCTAGGTCATTGGTTGACCTTCCAGGTCAGGTCAATGACCCAAGGTCGGAAAAAGGTCACCTGAAGGTCAGGTCAGGTCATTGACCTTTGGTGACCTCGGCTCACTTTTTCGAGCTGTACATGTTTCTAGGCTAGTTTTTGGAGCTGAATTCGAATTTAGCAACCATTTGAACATTTACGAAGTAGTTTTGGTGCCTTCGTAACATGTTACGAAGCTGTCAGAGGCGGTTGACACGTACTACGAATACCCGTCACGATGCCTACTGGTTGACCTGACCTGACCTGACCCGACCTGGTCTAAATGCTTAAAGACATCATCTGTGATCAAAACTAACAGAATATTCGTGATCAGCACCCCGAAAACCTCTTAGCAGCCACACTTTACGACTTTCTAACAGGTCCCGATTTTCCCGACTTTGGGTCATTGACCTGACCTGGAAGGTCAACCAATGACCTAGGACCTTAAAATTGGGTATCATCGGCTTCCTCTCGTCACGGGCAACACGCTCATTTTTTTCCGCGAAGCTCTAGCTCGATCAGGGGCCAAACGGCAAGGGGGGGGGGTCCAACCGACCCCCCCCCCCTTCACATTAGAAGCTGGCCAACGCCGCACACATGCGAGGGTTAAGTTGGGGGAGCCTTGAGCCCCAGCAGCTCGTCCTATCTCACTGATATTACCCTCGTCCTGTCTTGTGATGTTATTGCAGTGCCATCAAGTAAATTTTCAAAAACTTTTTAAGGTAGATAAGAATAATGAGAGATACTTTTATAGGTGGCAATTTATTTCGTATGGAGACAGCTTTTAGGATTTACGAGTGGAACCGGGGTAGACTGAAAGTTACCCCGGCCAAGGCCGGGGTGGCCGGGGCAGATTCTCCACCCATGCCTATGATTTTAAGAAAGTCCTTGACCGCCCGTTGCTTAAAAATTATGACGTGTTTATGTAAACAACATTTTTGAAAAAGGCCATCGTACGATTTTGATAAAAATTACATTTTTAGAATCAGCTCACCGTCAGCTTTCGAATGGTATATTTCGTTTCTTTTGTGGATGAAATGACTTAAATGTTAATTTATTAATTCTTAATTTTCTCGAAAGCTTTGCCGAATCAAATCCTGGAGTTTGCGATATCAATGGGTTGCCGGCCACTAAAGCGGCACTCCAGTTCTCACTCACCTCCAGCAGCTGGGTCGAGCAAGATCTCTTCGGGTGACGCCATGTTGTGCCTTATGGAGAAGCCCTGCATCGGAAAGATGCTGAAGAAGGCGTTCGCGAATGATGGATCTATGACGTTAGATGAGATCGAGGTGAGACTGATTTACCGGTAGCTCTCTGGCCTCTAGCTATTGCTCTTCTTATAGATGGGAGTTATCTCGCCTGTATTCCAGTCCGAGAGCAGTCTACCGGAGTCGAGTGACTTTCTAAACAAGGCACTGAGCAGAGCGCAAATGCCCGGAGCTGCCTCGCAAAGCACCCTGGGGTGCATGGAGTCCGGACTTGGGAGACACTAGTCCTACATCACCTACATCAGCTGGGTACGGCGCTCTCCCGCTACTGTCACTCTCCCTTTCCCTCCCTGCTCCCGCTTTCCTATCTACCTGTTCTTTCTCTCTATATAAATTTTACATATCCTCTAAATTCACACCATCCGCCCCGGTCCAGCGCGTGAAACTGAACAGTGAAGATCCCTTTAAAACGCAGTGACAAGTTCTCCCCAAGTTCTCCACCGACGATGACAAAAACGTTTTCTCCATCCAGTAATGTTGGAAGCAATGACTGTTTCACCAGGTACACTAAAAAACACAGTTGTCTCACAAATGACCAGAATGTATCATCTTTACACGTTTCTGTACAACACCGTGGGTCCGTATGTGTATGGTGAGGCGTGATGGGTGAGGGAACCGTACCGCACAGGTGGGGCAGCCGTGCGGTCGTACCCTGGTACGGAGCTTGGCCGAGCTTTCAACGGTACCGCACCATCGTGTCACCTTCTCGGCGGTGTGGGTACGCCTGTGCAACAGCGTCTGGCCCATCAGCGTGCATGACATCGGTAAGGTGGGTCAGGTCTGACGAGAAAATCACTACGTTTCCATGACACGCCTAAATCGATGTAGCGAGATTTCACGTGCGTTTTTCTTGGATACTATTCATCTTATGCAAAAAAGAAGAGTATATTTATGGCTTTAGTTACCACTTAATCCTATATTTACAGTTTTAAATGATGTATAAATGATATACTCGAGAAAATCAATTTTGCGATCTAACTTGTGCCATGGAAACGTAGTCAAGTGTCCTGTCACAAATTATCTTACAGCAGTGCATCCGCTATCATATGTGTGTACGGCAGTGCCGAATCATATTATTCCGCTGAGAAAATGACTCATTGCATATATCGCAGCGGTACGGTCGCTCTCCCGTATGTGTGCGGCGGTGGCTGGTCAGACTACTTTGTAAAGAAAACGCTTTGTCACATATATCGCAGCGGTACGGCCGCTCTCCCGTGTGTGTACGGCGGTGGTTGGTCAGGGTACCTGGCAGCGAAAACGACTTGCCACATATATCACAGTGGTACGGCCGCTCTCCTGTGTGTGTACGGCGGTGCCGAATCATATTACTCCTTTCAGAAAACGACTCATTGCATATATTACAGCTGTACGGCCGCTCTCCCGTGTGTGTACGGCGGTGCGTGGTCAGACTACTTTGTACGGCAAACGTTTCGTCACATATATCACAGCGGTACGGCCGCTCTCCCGTGTGTATACGGCGGTGGATGATCAGATTACTGGGATCAGAAAACGACTTATTACATATACCACAGCGGTACGGCCGCTCTCCCGTGTGTGTACGGCGGTGCCTGGTCAGTCTGCTCTGCTGACTAAACGACTTATTGCACATGTCACAGTGGTACGGTCGTTCTCCCGTATGTAAACGGAGGTGGCGTGTTAGATAACGTTGTAAAGCAAACGACTTCCCACACTCATCACAACGAAACGGCCGCTCTCCCGTGTGTATACGGCGGTGGCGGGTCAGCTTACTGTGTTCAGAAAACGACTTTCCACATATATCACAGCGGTGCGACCGCTCTCCCGTGTGTGTACGCCGCTCTTCCGTGTGTATACGGCGGTGGGTGGTCAGACTACTTTGTAAAGAAAACGCTTTGTCACATATATCACAGCGGTACGGCCGCTCTTCCGTGTGTATACGGCGGTGGGTGATCAGCCGAACAGGTTGAGAAAACGACGTCCCACATATATCACAGCGGTACGGCCGCCCTCTCGTGTGCGTTCGGAGGTGCTTTGCCATGCTGCCGGAATGGTTCGTAGAGTACTGACACCACTGACACTTCAATTTGCCGTCCTTGCCGATGTGACCGTGTTTATCCTTGACGTGCCTGTTCAGAAGATCTTGTCCCAGACAGCTGAAGTCGCAGTGAGGACAACCGACAGTTGCCTGTCCGCCTGGAAAATCGGGAAATGGGGACCTGTTAGAACTTCGTAAAGTAAGGTTTCTATGAGGGTTTCTCGGGGTGCTGATCACGCATTTCATGTTTGTTTTGATCACAGATGATGTCTCCATGCATTTAGGACAGGTCGGATCAAAGTCGGGTCAACCAGTAGGCGTCCTGCCGGTATCCATAGTAGGTGTCAACCACGGTGTCCGCACAAATTGCCGAAAGGCGATTTGCCGAATGCATTTCGCCGAATGTCATTTTGCCGATGTGCTTTTTGCCAACGTGTCAAAACGTCGAAATGCTAAAAGTCGAAATGCCATTTGCCGACATGCCTTTTTGCCGAAATGCCCATTTGCCGAAATGCTTATTAGTCGAAAAGTAAATTTGCCGAAATGCGTTTTGCCGAAATGTAAATTTTCCGAAATGTCAATTTGCCGAAATGCCAATTTGCCGAAATGTCAATTTGCCGAAATGTCAATCTGCCGAATCGGCAGACGAAATGTCGATTAGTCGAAATGTAAATTTGTCGAAATGCCGATTAGTTGAAGAAATGTCAATCTGCAAACCTAGGTTAGGTTAGGTGGTACCTATTTGTTTACTTTAGGATCGATCATCAATTTACTTTTAGTGCAATCCCGGATACCCAAGTAAAAAGCAAATCACACGACAGCCTTTGACCTCCTGATTTCATAACTAATAATTATCCATGGCACAAACAAATTTAAAAGCACCAATACAATATGGAAAATAACATCAAATTGCTCGTGGCGAAGCAAAGCAGTGCCGAAGGCAATGCCTTAGGAGAGATTACAGGCAATGGTAAGTCAAATATTTTTAGGTTAAGTGGTTGTGTATCTGGCTTCAGGCCGAAGGCCTGAAGCCTGATGCACAACCACTTAACCTAAAAATATTTGACTTATCATTGTCTGCAATCCATTCATGTGAGTAACATCTTCCTTATCCTCAGGTAGGCAAAAATCAGTAGGTCAGGTTAGGTAAGGTTCGGTTATGTTTTTCTTATATTTTGGTGACATGTAAGTATGTATCATATCAGGATTTAGGAGCTCAAAAAATGGAAGAAGGTGTAAAATTTACCTAACAAAACTGAGTCGGTCCTTAAGCCAATGCTTACAGGTTAGGTTAGGTTAGGTTAGGTTAGGTTAGGTTAGGTTAGTTTAGTTTCGGCTAATTGGCATTTCGGCAAATTGACATTTCGACTAATTGACTTCAAATTGACATTTCGGCAAATTGACATTTCGATTAATTGACATTTCGGCAAATTAGCATTTCGGCAAATTGACATTTTCGACTTATTGCACGTCGGCAAAAAGACACGTCGGCAAAATGCATTCGACATATTGACATTCGGCAAATAAGCATTCGGCAAAACGCAGTTCGGCAAATTGTCCTGTAACCGTCAACCACCGCTGACGGCTTCGTAACATGTTACGAAGGCACTAGAACTATAGTCTGGCAAACCTAAGAAAGAACGGAGTTAAAGCGCCTGAATCACTTTGCACGTGTTTTGAGCACTTGAAATGTATGACTCGGAGAAATCTGTGTGAAATTTGCCAGAGAAAATGTGCCTTACAATATAAATGCACATGCATCAACGACCGCAGCACTTTAAATCATATTATCTAAGTCATATTATCAGAGAGTATCATCGATTAACCCGCGCCCCGTGGGGGGGGGGGGGGGGCGAAACAGCCCCCTCTGTCCTTTTCCGTCGATATCTCCTAAACGACTACAGATATCGCCACCAAACTTTCAGGACCCCTCCGGGCATCTATTTTACACATTGTGACCAATTTTTTCCGAAGGCTATGATAGGTTGGCCACAAATGACGTCAGAATGATGTCATTTTCTGCCATTTTCGACCGAAAAAGACCTTCGCGAGAAGAGTTGTAAGGCCTACAGTTGTGAAGATACAGAAAAATGATCAAGACATAAAAGGTGTAGAATTGACAGGGCTACAAGACTGCTATTTCGGATTTAAAGAAGTTTTGAGTTTTGACCCCCAAAAATCAAAAATTCATTTTTTTTATATATTAGCCAAAAAATCCAAAAAGTATTTTGAGTTTCGAAAAAACGGAATATATGTGATAGTACCAACCGTCCTCTATCTACATACTAAAGTTCAGATCGATATCTCGTTTTTTGGCCAAGTTATAGCGAAAAAAATGTTCAAAAATGATGAGGTCAAATTTTCAAACTCAATTTTTGGCAATTGTAGACCACGTAGGGCAAAACAAAGACCACCATTAGACTCCCCGTGACGAGCTGCATCGAATCGATACCCATTTTACGCAAAAATATGAACTTCGAAATTTGACCTTATTTGACCTGACCTTCACCAAAACGTGACCTAACCTGGCACCAAAGGCTGCCTGACCCACATAATCGCATTTGTCATGTAAAATGGACCATAAAACATGTATCACACGACATTTTCATATTGTGACCCCAAGTGACCTGACCTCTGTGACCTGACCTGGTATCAGTGACCTCAGATAGCAAAGTATGTGCTTGACGAACAATGTACCATCGATGGTTTTCAATAACGTACCAATTTACTCGATTTCACAACACATTTCTTGAAATGCCTGTGAACGGTGAAAATCCGATCTTTGACCTGACCTGCGACGTCATCGGTTTGACCTAGGTCAATGAAATTTGGTCACAAGGTAGTTCCCGGGTGGGGCTATCGAACGCCGTTTGGATTTTGAAAATCGGCCGGTAAATTTCAGAGATCTTAGGGGGGGGCCGAAACGCCCCCCCCCCCCCCTACGGGTGGTAGGGTCCACCGATAGCCCTACGGGGCGCGGGTTAAAACAGTGAAATAAATTCATAAAATGACGATATGTGCTGTAAAAGAGAGTAGGTGCAGATTTGGTCAAATTAGGTGCATTCGCCGGATAGCCCGTCGTGAAAACGGCTAATGTGCGCTCTCTCGTATCTATGTTTCAAACACCTCTACCACTGGCTCTAACTTACCTTTTTCTGGATTAAATTTATCAAACAAGATGATCATGATGATATCATACCTGTGTACATAATTGCGTCATGTGGCGGGTCAGTGGCGATGTCGATCATCATATATGAATCTCACTCACGGAAACCTAGCTAATTCCCTACATCCTTCTCGTTTCCATCGGAACAGCTCAGTACCCAACCAATCGGCAGTTATCGGGGTTACATGAGCAAGTAAATGCGTATCAGGAACGGATTTTCCTATTCGCTCACCACTGTAGTCCGTTTGTAATGCGTATTAACTCTGCTCATGTAACCCCGAGCATTGACAAGCAGTTTGGTGTCCGGGGGAGGATTCATCCCACGAGGGGCCCAACTGGCAATAGGAACTGGGAACCAAACGTCTTCAGCAGCGCACTGACCTGAGGATGACGGTCCGGCCGGAGAGGGAGTCACAGACTCCCCAGACGTCTCCGAGTGGACGGTCAGCTCCCGGGCCGAGTCGTCTCCGTGGTACACCAGCAGCTCTGAGCCCTTCGGAACGGGCTTTGACGTCCTGCATAGGTCGATAAATAATGGGTTAAATTAACATAAAATGGTAGGCGATTATTATGCAAACGACCACTTAAATCTTTTGCGACAGATTTAACTTTATGTTGACTCGAGGTCAAATCTGATGGCATACGGCGAATAAAACTTATAGTTCGTTTTTTTTTCGAAGTTCGACCCTCACTGTAAACATCTTTTTAAACACAGCACGAGAGTTGCTCGCTGAGTTACTGAGAAAACTGGTCAGCGCACATTGTATTGGAGATCTGAATAATATATTCAAAAAAAAAGTTTTGAACACCGATGATGCATCGTTATGTTAAACGCCGTGCGATTGATTAATTAGTTCAGATATACCTAATTCCCGATAAGTCTCCTATCCCTGTGGGGTCATAAACATGGGCAAATACGAGCTTAAGGCCGGTAAACAGCTCTTAAGCGTGCAAAATGCGTCTCCGCACTTCCCATTGGAATACATGGCATATTTTCTGCTTCCAACACACGTGTTGGGAGCAGAAAAAAATGCCATGTATTTCAATGGGAAGTCCGGCCACCTTCCGCGCGGTGGGGGGGGGGGGGGCATTCCCCTCCCCGTATCTCCGAAACTACTGGACGGATCCGGAAAATTCAAACGGCGTTCGATAGCCCTGTCAAATTTGTTGAAGGAAACCAAATTTCATTGACCTCGGGGTCACCGATGACGTCACAGGTCAGGTCAAAGATAACATGTTTCACCGTTCACGGGTCTTCTAGGGAAAGCGCTATAACACCGAGTAAAACGCATTTTGTCGAAAATCAGCGATAGGGCGTCAGTTGTCTAGTACATATGTTGCTATTAGAGGTCACTGGTCATACCAGGTCGGGTCACAGGTCAGGTCACCAAGGGTCACCACATGAACCCAACTTTACTAAGGTTGTGCGATGCATGTTTTATGGCCAATTTTTCATTTCCAAATCAATGGTGTTGGTTATAAGACATCAGGTGCGGTTCAAGTCACTTTCTGGTGGAGGTGTCAGGTCAAGGTCTGGTAAAAAAGGTCAAGTTTCAAAGTTGATAGTTTTGCACGTGCTGTGTTCAAAAAGACGTTTACAGTGAGAGTTGGCCTCATCGAAAAATGACCAACTCACAAAGAACCATCAATTGCTTTACTAAAATATACTATTTTGATTAAACAGCAAATCCAGTGGAACAAGTGCTAACTGGAAATCTCACGCTATATTCCAAGCAGCAGCCAGGTACCGGCAATGTCACGTGCCTTGACCGACAATCGAACCAGACAGGTTGAATCCAAGGCCCTAAAACATGTTGAATACAAGATACCTATAAGAAACTGGTAGACCCGATGTTTGAAAGTAAAGCCCCAGTCACAAATCTGACGCACCTGTGACATTTCCTGACACCCACGTGACTATTGTGAAAACTTCTGTGTTTTGCGATGTTTTGACCTAATTGAAAGTACTGAAAGCTCAAAATGAATGACAAATGTTGTTTAAAGCAGCATAATAATAATTATATTAGTAAATTATCGATAAACTGCTTATAGCAAGTCACGTGATTGCTACCAGATTCTCTGCTCAGATAACATCTTTTCAACTTCGATTTTGAACACTTTTTACCTTCCTTGAGGCCAAATGATGGACGGTTTGAGGCACACGATGAAACGCTGAATCTACTGATGCCAAAAGTTTATCGGTTTTTGCATTTTTAGACTAGTATATCCTGGCCCCAACTTTGACCATTTTGTGTGTAAACCCTATGGTGAAGGGAAAACTTCACGCCCAGCTGACGTCATTACTGTGCTACCAAATCGTGTTTGGTGGGGGTCGGTTGAATATACATTCTTGGACGATACCGCAAAAACGAACTATTTCTATCGAGAGTTTTCAAAGGATTTCATGCACGAGGCCTTGGCCGAGTGCATGAAATTCTTTGGAACTCGAGATAGAAATAGTTCGTCGCGGTAGAGTCCTTGATATTATTTCCTGTATGTTTCATAATATCGTTCGTTATCTACTTAAAAAGGCCTAAATTTGCAGACATAAGATACAATTACATAAACCACACGATGGGTACTGAAATACAGGCAGTTCTAATTACTTAACAATACAGCAAAACTTACAAATTTCCTTTAAAGCAGAAGCTCCAGTTGAAATCAAGCTATACAAGAAAACCATCCAAGAAAACGTCTCGTGCAAAGTTTCTTGGATGGCTTGATTGCATTGTAATACTGCATCAAACATACAGGAACCTACATAGAGGCAAGAAACTTACGCCTAGACCAGATGTTCCCAAGGCCATATATAGGCCTTGGGATGGGATATACAGGCCAGACCAGATGTTCCCCACTGAGCCATGCTTACTTGTCCCGGTGCACCTCAGTGAACCCGATGAAGTCCTCGGACGATGACGGCAACTGACACCGCAACTTTTCCTCCTTCACCAGAGACTGCAGAGCGCTGACCGACAAAGGATCCTCGTCTGGTGTCCGTGGAAGGAATGGCAGCTCAGCCTGGATCAAAAAAAGAAATGAAGCCACTGTCAAAAAACGACACGAATAAATATCTTGCCAGGAATTGTTCGGATACCGTCAACAAACGCAACAAACTCAATTATTAAATCAAAAAGTTAACAAGTAAATAAAAATTAAAAAAATATTAACGTAATAGGTACTATCAATACCTACTATTATTTGGCTCAGAAAAATGTAACATAAAACAGAAGAGTTAATAATTCTTCACCTCTACGGTTTCAAGCGTTGATGATGGAACACTTTACAAGTGTACCACACTGACTGACCTCTGGTGAACAGACCTCCTCCTTCCGCTCCTTGCCGATCTCTTCCTCGTTTTCTTCCTCGATCTCTCCCTTGATCTCCTCCTTCACTATTAAAAGTCCCTGAAAGTCGCCCTCTGCAGTATTGTGCAAGGCAGTGAGGTCGTCCCGACCATATGCGGGCGCCTCGGATAGCGACGGGCGCTGACCCTCGCCGATGTCGGCCGGTTCCATCCGGCCCTGCCTCACTCGTACCGGTGTCTTTGCCGACAGGGGTGACGTGGCGGACATGACGAGCGCTGGCTTGACGTCTGGAGAAATGTGATCGGAAGATGTTAGCGCAGGCATTATTACGAGACCTGCTAGTATTAAGGGTTTGGACACCGGCATTGATTTGTTGGCCACAGGCCAACTGTCACTGCTGCTACCTTGCCCAGTTTTCGCCGCACCCCTCTTTAAATTACAATGCAATGGGTGCAGATATTTCTTCTATCGGTTTACCTGATCTATTGAATGATGTCACTAGCCTGCCTCTTAAAGTGACCATCCCACCTTAGCATTAGTTTTGAGTTTGGGCACTCACAACATCGAAAAATGCTTTAATTCGGAGATATGGAATTTCAAACTTGCAGTTTTTGGATTCTAAGGGGCTAATGCATTGGTATGCCCCCTTAGAATTTGTGACGTCAGCGGAGATCTAACGATTTTTAAATCTTTTACTAAAACGTTTGGTAGCACGCGGTGGTACCTATATGCTGCTTAACGCGCAACAAATGCCACACTTTCAAATAAAGTCGCTAGGAACAGAGGAGATCCCAAAAAGTAAACAAAAGTTTAAGTCTAATATCTTGAAAACCGGTGAATATTTTTCGATGAAATTTGGTAGATATTAGTTTTCGCTCTTTCTGAACCGAGCGACATCACTTTCATGCCAATTCATTAACTTTTTTGAAGGTGGGAAAGTCCCTTTAAAGATTACTTTTGGGTCAAAGGTTACATTAGGTTTTTATGGGTTTCATTAGGCTTCTTCAAGTTTTTTTTTGGGTGGTTAGGTCAAGGTCAGGTTAGGTTAGGTGGGTTAGTTTTCTTTATGTTCCATTGATAAAACATATTCAATCTTTTTGAGAAGTTCAAGTTCAAGCCTGTGACGTAATTTAAATCATAATGAAATAATTTTCGGCATTAGTAAAGCAGACATCACACGAAGGTTTTCCAACCAAGGAAAGGCGCTGTAGGTTTGTAGGTTGTAGGGTAGGTTTGTAGGTTATAGCCCTTATAGGTTTTTAGGATGGAGGTTAGTAGGTTGTAGGTTAGGTTAGGTCAGGTTAGGTAAGATTTGTTTAGGTTTTGTTAGAAAGAAGTACCTCCAGGCATAGCGCCTCTCCTTGGTTGAAAAACCTTCGTGTGACGTCTGCTCTACTAATCCTAATTTTCTTGTTATGACATGATGTTTATTTGGGTTCATGATGTTCATGATGCATGATGATGCCTTTGCAATGTCCCCCGATCAAATAAAAACCAAGGCTATATAAAAACAAATTATCATACAAATCACAGAGGTCACAGTGAACACACGGTTAATGCATCAAGTAAGCATGGATTATTTACTTGTTAGTTATCCATGAAGTATGGGAAGTGAAAAACAAAGGCTACATAAAAACAAATTATCATACAAGTCACAGAGGTCACAGTTAACACACGGTTAATGCATCAAGTATACATGGATTAGGTACTTACTTGTTAGTTATCCATGAAGGAAATACCTGTATCTACCTAAGTATCTGTAAGAATCTTGGGAAGACTTAATTCTCCATGGTCAATTACATAAAAAACAGCTTCAAAACACTTTGATTCGCAATATTTACCAAAATATAATAAAGAAACCTAACTACCGTCAGCACGCTACGCCAATTGCCGGGACGCATAATGGCGACGTTGTTTTGCCTCTGATGCGCCAAATATGTGACCTTAAATAATTGGATACGACTACTAAATACATTTTTTTTTAGAAATTTTGTCCGAATGGATGAATGGGTGGCTATGGGCCCTGGTGCCCCGCTAAACAGTGCTTGTTGCGAATGACACCACGGACCCACCGTGGTGGGTCCGCCTTGCCCGCGCCCGGTTCACCGGTGATAATTTGGATCGAAAGTTTAGCGTGCCGCAGGTAGATGGCGGCACGGTCCTCCCGGGTCTAGCGTGGCGTCTCGCCAGTTTTTTTTTGGGGGGGTTGGGCCCTTTCGGTCTAATGAGACCATTTCAGAGCAGGGAGGATGATAGGATATAGGGGGAGACATTGGTCTGGGCAGGCATCCTAGTGAGTCGCCAGGGCTGAGCCCGTATCTCGCCAGTTGCCAGCTGGGCATAAGCGTAACTTTATATCTCTTTGTGGGTGCTCAAGCACCCCCAATCCTGAGCTCAGCACCCCCTGCCTTCTTAAAGCACCCCCAGCCTCCTCAAAACATTCCCAGCTGACTCAAGGCCCTCAATAATCAGAATGTCCATCTCCTAGTACTGTAATGAGCCCAGTGAATCATGCAAATACTATGCTTACTCAATTCAGTGATTAAGATAATATGCATTGAATAAATCACCACAAATTAAGATGCATGATATTTGTGTTAACATTAGGTACATCTGATATTATCAGGGGCCCGGGAACGATTTTCAAGTTGGGGGGGGGGGCGAGCCTAAAATACCTGACATGATGCATATAAAACAGTGGCATAGCTAGGGGTGTAAGGGGACACGTTTCCCCTCCCCCCATCGGGTTCAAAGGGACCCTTGGGTCCGAGAGGCCCTGCGGCGCCATTTGACCGCTGAGGGTTAACGATGGCCATATTTCTACTCAGAAGGGCCCCGTGGGGCTCTTTAGAGCACCTCATGGGCCCTAAATAGCCACACTAAGGTCTCCATAAGGGCCCCACGCCGACTTCTGAGGGCCTCTTGCGGCTTTTAAGGACACCTCGGTGTTCTCCAAAGGCCCGTTAAGCCTGAAACAGACTCTTTCCGCAGTCAAGAAATCGCATGCGAGAGCCTATTCAAATACATGGAAGCACGCTCGCATCAATCGCACGCACCTCCCGCGAGCGATTGATGCGAGAGGAATTACAATGTTTTTGAATATGCTCTCGCATGCGATTTCCTGAACGCGGAAAGAGTCTGCTTCAGCCTTTACTGGCCTCTGAGAGGTCTTACCGGCCAATGAGGGAAAGTTCTAGGGGCATTTCCCACCTGTGATGGTCCCACACTTATTTTTCTGAGGGCCCCATAACGGCAACTATGGGGCCCTCGTCGGTGCCTATGAGGGCCCACACCGGTGTCTCTGAGGGTTTTACACCCCCAACTCTGAGTGCCTACACCAGTGCCTAAAAGCCCTATATTGGCGGCTCCGAGGACCCAACCAACACCTGCGCATCTAAAGGCCACCCACTGATGACTTGAGGGCCCCACAACGGTGACCCTGAGGGCCCCACCGGCGTCTGACAGTACCATGCCGGTCTCTTAGGACCCCGCAGGACTTCTTCTGCCAGCCTAATAAGGACCCCTTGCCGGTCACTGAGACCCCCAGCCGGCTTGTAGAGAGTTCGCGTCAGCAGCTCTACAGGCCCCACACCGGTCTGTAACGGCTCTACACCAGCGTCTATGAGGGCCCGGAGCAACGCCTGTAAGGACCCTCATCGGCGCCTCTGAGAGAATCACACTAGCACCTCTGATCGCCCACACCGGCACCTGCATGGCGGCCCCACACCGGTGCCTCCCTTACCGGCGGCTCTGAGGGCCCTACGCCGGTGATTCTGAGGGTGCCACCGATAACTGAAGGCACCACACAAGCCCTTAGTGTAGCTGAGCTTTAATCCCATACCGGCCCTCCGAGGGCGCCACGTCAGTGCACTCATTGCCCCACACCCCTCCCTCACACCCGGAGCGGGTAAACTGTGTTATACCTATAGCAACGATTTTACCACCGTTGTACGTTATGTATTTCTCAAAGTTGACTCAAAATGGTCCAGTACAAAATCTGGCCTGCCAAACTTATGGCCAAGGTCAGACCCAAACACGTTTTGGGCAATCAGTCTCAGTCCATGACTCCATTCTTCGGCAACTACGGTGCAAGGCCGATACTGTAGAAACTTGCAATTTGTACCCTTGACCTGACCTTGACCTTGACCTCAAACTTTAGATTAAGTGCATGTTTTTAGTTATTCGTGATGAGATCTTTCGATTGGCGTTTGAATTTTCCAAATCGGACCAATAGTTCGGGAGATAACAGGGGGTAAAATTTATCCCCCCAGCCCCGCGCGGGTTAATGCATTGGGTGAGCCAAAATTGTTTTACAGTGGCGCTATTAAAACAAGCTCTCGAACCGATTTAACATCATTTCTTGCATGATGCCTGATGGCTACAGTAAAAAAGAACAGCTAAAAAACTACAAAAACTATGGAATGCCTTTCTGAAAGCTATTGAGCACCCCCAATGATTTTTGGAAAACTACACCCATGCAGCTGGGGCATTCCACGATAGATCGTACCAGGCCCGTCACCCTCATCTCTCAGATTTGAATGAAAATTGGTACAAGGGGTAATCATAGGCTCCAAAAACAACTGCCAAAATATCAGACTTCTCAGATGAAAACTTTTTGAGTTACATTGCATAATATTTTCTAAACTTCAGATTGTAAGGGTGAGTTTGATGAGCTATAACTCAAAAACGAGCTAAGCAAGCAGCAAACGGTAAACAGCTTTGAACTAACGATGAATCAAAGATTATTACAGTATTTTTAAAATTGGAAAGAAAAGCTTTACATGTTCAAAAAAGTCGCAGTATTTTTTTTAAATTGTCTTTAATGGCCCTTGGGACCAAAATTTTTGCCATTTTTATTTCTTCAAAATAAACCTCAGGTCCTTCAAAATCGACATGCAAAAAATTAGAAAGGTGTTCTTTCTAAAGTTCCTCATTTAAATGCATACAAAATGGGTTTCCGGGGGGTCGGTACGACCCCAGCTCGCCGTTTCGCCTCTAATGGAGCTAGAACCTTGCGGAAAAAACGAGCATGTGCGCCGATACAAGATGCATCGAATGATACCACATTTTAAGGTCTCAGGTTCATTGGTGACCCCTGAGGTCATTTCAAGTGACCCAAATTACGGGTCCGGTTTTTGATAGATACCTAACTTTGCAACAAATGGTCGCAGAGCCGCGATTTTAGCATCTTTGTGTTTGCTTAGCTCCGGCGCGTCGAATGGTATACTATTTGTTCTGGTGAGGTCAGCTTAAGTCGCTGACCTCGGGTCAGCACACTGCCGTGTATTTGGCTCCGTGCCCCGACCGAGCGGCCCAGCCGGCAGCCAGCCCCCGGGCATCACGTGACCGCCCCGAGTCCGGGGCAAAGCAAACCAGCGCGGCGCTGAACAAACAGCGCCGCTACAGAGATGGTTAACAGTCGGGTCAGGCCACGAAGCTGGGTGAATGAGATCATATCGCACATCATTCGATTCGCAAGGTCTTTCCGAGTCCATTGGTAGCTTTCCCGTCTCTCTAGCTCAATTTGATCGAGAGTTATTGACGAAAACTCTTATGACCCTAGTGACGTACGAATGACGTCACGCAAGGTCAACAATGCAAAAGTGAGGCAAAAATGACTTCAATTGAACTTTCAGTGACCAGTGATGTCACTAGGCAGCCTTACCACACAATTTGTAGGCTCTCTTCCGAAATCACAATTCGAGACCATTACGGTGACGCAAAATAAGTACATTTATAGAAAGAACACCTTCCTAATTTTTTGCATACTACTTAAAAATGAGCCAAAAATGTTTTTAAGTGAATAAAAATTCAAAAAAAAAAATTGGTCCCAAAGGCACAAAAATGCAAATGAAGGAAACTCGAGGTGTTATATTATCAAAAATAGTATATATTTCAAAGTTTTAAAAATGCATATAATCATTTGTTTCAATGCAATTTAAATGCCGTATAGCATTTGGCATTTGAATTATCCGTCTAGGCCTGGCCTGGCTATTAACCCGCGAGTTGCTGGGGGGGGGGGGGGCGTTAAAGAGAGAGAGAGAGAGAGAGAGAGAGAGAGAGAGAGAGAGAGAGAGAGAGAGAGAGAGAGAGAGAGAGAGAGAGAGAGAGAGAGATCCCTTTATTGGCAGACTCTAGGTCCATAAACGAGTCATCCACTCAGCTAGGGCACCAAGGCCCAATGTAACACAATCTCAACTTCCATGCAAGCTCTTGGACCATGCTTTCCTTATCAAGGAAGTGTAGGCCAAGTCACTAAAGAATAGTGACAACACAATCCTGTTGGAAGATCGTGCAAGACGTGACACAAAGTTCCACACTGATCTACGATACAGCGCATCAAAGCCAGGTAAACACTCTTGAACAAACATATTAGACGCACTGCAAAACCTATCGTAGCCAAGGAACATCCTGGCAGCATTATTAAAACACACTTTGAATTTCGTTAGAACAGATGCATGAAAGGAGTGCCAAAGGTGCATACAACTGACATTTGAACAGTAGGTAGTATACAGATACTTCTTAACAGAGTATGAACACATCGCAAATTTACGACTCAAAGAATTCGCTCGACAGCACAAATTACGATATTGTTGATGAATTTCCATGTCATCAGCCCTGGTGCTTTTGTTAGTAAGCTGAAATCCAAGATACTTATACGAATCAACAAACTTCAATTCACTACCACCAAGAGTCACAGACGGTACGTACAGATCGCGGAAATTTCTAGGAAGAATTGTCATACACACAGTCTTTTTCGTATTGAATTTAATATCATGACCATCTGCATACGTAACACAAAGATCCAGCATTTTCTGTAGTCCATACGACGAAGGAGAAAGAAGGACCATATCGTCTGCATAATACAGGTGATTTATGCTACCGTGAAAGTGGCACCCAAAACCACATTGTGCGAGA